ATCCGAGCTGGAGGAATCCGCGTGGAGGTCAACAAATGATTGGAGACGAGACCTGAAGAAGTACACAAAGCGATTAGGTAGAGTAGGTGTCTTTCGCCTCCCAGGTTGGGGTCCGAAAGACTCCACAAGTGGTTGGTTGCAGACATTGAAGGATATGGCAGCGAACCGGCAGCAGTGGCGTTATTGTTGTCGTTTCTTATCAGGTCAGAATGTTTGAAACGGTATGCATGCAGAGTTCGATTGCATACTCTGTGTGTTGACCATAGTGGCTCACCTTCTTCTCCCTCCTGCAAAATAGTTTCAACCCCTGTCCAACTTAAATTTTACCACTAAACTTGTATGAGTTGTAAGTTTGGCAGCAGGCAGTGAAGTCCGCTTCACTGTATTTCGCTGTACGATGATGATGTCACGCAAGGCCTTTGAGTTTGGATTAGTTGTGTTGTTCGCTGGTGTGTTGATTATCGATCCGCTTTTCGCGATCGGCCCTTAGCCTCATGCACCCAATATGACAAGCGGAACGTGGACGAGACAGCACCTTATTGGCTGGGAGCCGCCCATCTTGAGCGGACGGTAGCTGCCCAGTGAAGTGCGAAGACTTCTGCCACCATTGAGAGGAAGCCCCAGGTACCCCACTCCTACATCCATCTAGCGGAGGTTTTTTTACCGGTAAACTGCCCCTTATCATGTTTATTTGCTGAAGTGATCTCTTCAGGGGCGGGTGTGGATAGAAGAAGGAAGCCGAGAGGTGCCAAAGCAACTGGCTTTGTGAGACTGATCTTCGTCTGGCCTCTACCCGTTGACCTTTCAGGCATGATTGAATCTGCAGCTGTGAGGAGCCATCCTGTGTAGCTCGCAGAGTCATAAAGGCACGCAAGCCATCGCACCACGTCAAGGTGCAGTCTCGTCGTGATGGAACTTGCATCGCATATTCAAGATTGGAATATTTCCAACTGAGTAATAGCCCTGGAGACTAGCGCTTAGTTAAGCAAAGTGTGATGTCTCCAACAAGCCTACATAGGTGAGTTGTGCTATATCATGTATGGGCAGAAAGAGAAACGCTCTGCTCGATTCCCCGGTGATCAAGTGGGTAGTATGATAGCTTTCCACATGCGGAATCATTAGATTAACCATGTCTATGCAACACTAATTGCCACATTTCATTCCGCACCGTGCAAACGTTAGTTTATAGAATAAATAAATAAATGCTTTACTTCCATTTTATTCATCTATTGAGCATACAATTCCACAGTCATCTTTCAGGAAGGGAGGCCGAGGCCATACAAAAACTGCTCGGAGAATTACAGGAGTGGGAAAGACAGGCGGTGAAGGCGAGACTCGAACTCAGGGCACATATAAAAGTGAACACATCAGAAG